AGCTCTGCCTTTGGATCATGATTTGCTTCTTGCACAGCAACACTACATCTCCCTTGTAAAGTACATTTCTATGCTACTGAACACACTAAATGCAAAAGTTTACTTTTGCTGAATTTAATTTCATCCCGATACAGGTTATGGAAGCAGAGTTGATTCTTTGAAGAAGTAAGCCTACGTTTTCTGCCCTGGGTCATTATTATTGGGTGGTGTCTGTTTTGTTGTTGCTTTAAGACCAGGGCTCCCCATGTAGCCCAAGCTGGCCCCAAAGCTATGGTCCTCTGCAATGTCCGGCTTGACACAAGTTATCCGAGAAGAGGGGACCTCACTTGAGTGAAGGCCTCTGTCGTATTGCCTGTGGGCAAGTCTGTGGGGTACTGTTTCGATTCATGACGGATGTGTAGGCAGCTTACTGCCTACTGTGGGTCGTGCCACCCCTGAGCAGGTGGTCCTGTTGGTCCTGGGATGCATAAGAAAACAGGCTGAGCAAGCAATGGGGAGTAAGCCAGCCAGCAGCACTCCTCCATGACCTCTGCATCAGTTCCTGCTTCCGGGTCCCCCCCTCAAGTTCCTGTCCTGACTTCCTGCAGTGATGTACTGTTACCTGGAAGTGCAAGATGAAATAAGCCCTTCCCTCTCCAAGTTGGTTTCGGTCGTGGTGTTTATCGCAGCAACAAAAACGCAAGCTAGTATAGCGGGTACGCACCAGTGGACGCAGCATTTCTGGTTTATTTTCATGCATTAAAACATTTCCAAATGAAAACAGAATCCAAGAGGAAGTTGTGATATAGTGACCCATGAAAGTAGAAGATGGAGAATAGTGTTTTGCTTCCAAAAAGTTGCTTTATCCTAGCTGGGTCATTGTACAAATCAGTTTAACATCTAATCTTTGCCCCATGCTATCTTATTGACTTCTTTGAGGACAGAGTGATCTTCTTGGCTAATTTTTTTTTAAGTGGTTTGAGGCTAAGCATAGTAAATCTTAAGCCCAGCCAGGCGTCTGAGTGATGGAGGAGGCCAGAAACTGCTTGTGTCCTTCCCTACCTCCCTGAGTTAAGGTGATACTGAGTCATGTCAAGTCCCTGGTTATCTGAAGGCCAGCGTTGCTTTCCTTCCATTCACCACAGCCAAGTGGAGCCCTGTCCTTCAGCCCACACGGGTCCTCCATTCCCTTGGCTTGAGGCCAGCAGATCACAATGAGAATATTAAGGGCCCTGGGAAAGGTGACATGTTCAAGAAGCTGTATAACTAACTACATTGGGCTTAGCAGGTGCCTGCCTGGTGTCCTTGTCAATGGTGTGAATTCCTATGTGGTTAAAGGTCTCAGACTTTGCAGGCAGGTTTGCCAAGGAGCCAGCCCCAAACGCAAATTGTTTTTGGCCCCATGTGGCTGCTGCTCTTACTGAAGGCAGAGTGTTTAGCAGCTTTCTCTACCTGAGGTCACATTGTAGTGATGTGATAATAGCCAACATGAGACTAAGCAAGGGCTAGTGGAAAGGCCCAGAGCAGGAGTGTCAGAAATGTCAGAAGACAAAGATGTTTGGCTATCCCTCAGTATTTGCAGGAGATTGTTCTAGGCCCTCCCGCTCCAATCCAAAATCCATGAATGTTCTAGGCCCTAACATGTCACCTGCACATACCCTCCTGTATTTTAGCACACCCCCAGATCTCTTAGAGTACTCGATTCAGTATAAATATTATGTAAATAGTTGTAGATTCTTTGTAGAGTTCTTTAAAGGTGGATGGGATTCAAACCCAGGGCCTTTTGTATAACTGGTGAGTGGTCGATCATTGAACTATACCAGAAATCGTTGCTATACTACAGTCATATTATTTAAGGAATAATGTCAAGGAAAAAAAGACTGAACATTTTCAGTATGGACATAAATTAAGTTTTTCCAGTACTTTCTATTTGCAGTTGGCTGGATCCATTGATCTGAAACCCGTGGATACCTGGAGCTGGTGCAACCCCAAACCTAACATGACCCTCGTGCACAGGGACAGACAGCAGCATAGGCAGGCAGCAGACCTGTCCTCCTGGCTGGCAGAGCCTTTGGGGTTCCGCCTTAACCTGTTGCATTCTTCCTTTATTAAAGGCTTCAGTGGGAGTGAGCCAGGCCCAGAGATTTACATTTGGAGGAGAGAGATGAAATCCTGGTAAGACTTCCCAGGTGTCTGTCCCGCTGCTTGTGGAGGCTGGGCTCTCTCTCTGTGCTCTGTGGTCGGTATTCCCAGAAATGGACTGAATTCTTCTCTCCCTGTGCAGAAGTCTGTCCGTCTGTCCATGGGCTCATGCTGGAATTTGAAAGCTGGGTGCTTCTCTTGCTTCTTGCTTCTCTAAGTTGCTTGTCTGTTGCCAAATTGTTTTCTCATTGAGTAGTTAAAAAAAAAAATCATCCTATTTTGCTTTTGGAAGGTCTGTGCCAAGACAGTGTCGGTGCCTTGTGTGTGTAATATTTGGTTGGTTTTCAGAGGGTCTTTGGTCTCTCTGTCTCACTACGTCACGATGTGCTGGGCATTCCATATATATCCACCATTTTGATAAGTGCGGTTACCTTTCTTTTTCTTCCAAATTTGGCCTGTCCTCACTTTCCCACTACTTATTCCAAGGGCTGAAGGGAGAGGGGATTTTTCAAACTGCAGGGAAAGCAGCTTCAGTCCTGTTTCTGGTGGCTGAGAGAGGCTAACCCAGCTTCTCACAGACCAGCCCTGAGACAGTTGTAGCTGCTGGGCTGCCGAGGAAAATGCGACTTAACAACTGTCCCTCTACAGCCACACCTTTAAAAAATAGTCAGTGAAACCATTTGGAATGGCTGACTTGTAAGTTGGATCCACACAGTCCTTTTTGTGGATGGCTTGCTTTCTGTCTGGTTGGTTTTTTGTTTCAGAGATTTTTTTTTTCTTCTTTTTCAGCTTAGAATTTCAATATTGATATAGTCACGACACCTTGGCCATGTAGCCCAAGCAGTCTGTGAACTCTTTATCCTAATGCCTCAACATCCCGATGGCTGAGATTGTGGGTATGTGCCACCATGCCTAGCTTAGGAGCTAGTACTGTGTGGCGCTGCATGGGCTTAGGAGAACCTCGAACTTAGGCCCTCACACAAGGTCAGCAAGCTCCCTACCACTGAGCAACACTCTACACCTGAATCCCTGGTGGAGAAATTGTGACTTCTTTTGCATTTTGCTTTTTGGTGCAATATATAAAAAAATGTGCTATAAGTTAAAGCCTGTAATGTGGGTCGGTAGATTGTACTCTAAAGGTTTTCTTTAGACCATTTGGGGACTTGCTTTCATGTTGGTTAGAGTGGAGACAGATCCAGGAAGTCCTGAAACTCAGTTTTCATTGCCTCACACATTCTGTGCCCTGCCTCCCTCACTCCGCCCCAGGTGCTGGGTATCCTGTCGATGCCTGGAGTAGACAAATCCGAGGGTGTCAGGGCTGAGAGACACCAAGCGTTTGTACGGCCACCTCTACCCCTTGCATTCCCTCTGTACCACCTTCAGGTACCCACTCCATTCTAAAGGAGTAGAAGAGTAACTGGGCTTGGTAAGCCCAAACACATCTTCCTGCCACTTCTGTTCAATTCAACAAACACCAGGTGCCTACCAAGCACCAGGTAGCGTGCCAGGGCCTGGAGTCAGCACAAAACACATCGGCAAAAATCGTTTCACTACCCCTTGGTGTCATGCGAGGCAAGCCAGAGAATTCTTCTGCACGGAAGTCCTTCAGTAACTTGTAGGCTGCTCAGGGTCCTCTTGGGTCTTCACATTAAGCTGAGCCCACAGTTAGCTCAGAGTCAGGTGGACAGCCTCAGATCTTTTCACTTGTGTAGGCTGCAGTAGCTTACAGTGAGTGTCATTTGATGAATATGGAGTTCAGTATTTGCTAAGTATTGATTTGTTTTTTCATAGGCATTTTTAACTCTTGTTTTGCCATGAAGGTAATATACGCCTAAAAGAAAAAACATTCTGGAAAAATCCAGATAAAGAGAAAATACAAAAAAAAAAAAAAAATGAGTTGGGGGGATTGGCATAGAAGCCTGTCACTATAATCCTGTCACTTGGGGTGCTGAGGCATGAATATTGCTGTGAGACAAAGCCACATGGGCTACATAGTGAGTGCCAAGCTAGCCAGGCTTACATAGAAAGACCCTGTTGCAAGGGTTGGGGGTGGGGAGAAAAAGGAAAAGAGGGAAGGAGAGATTTCTTTTTAACCCTATTCTTACTGTTAAAATGTATATTTCTTTTCTTCTTTTTCAACCAGCATGTGTTTATATAGTTGAGGTCATAATGAATTAGTTATTTTGAATCCTAAAGTGGGTTTATTTGGGGGAAAGCGCATGATTGGTGTTGGGAATTTTCCCCCTCTGTCAAATGAGTTCATACCGAGCTAGGAGTTGAACCCAGGCCTTGCACATGTTAGGCAAACACTTTGCATAGCATCTCCAGAGTCCTGTTTCTCCATCTAACATTGACATGTATAAAACATTTGCATATATAAAATACAACTATATGTTCATAAAGATTCTCTAGCTTGGTGTCACATAGCATGGGTCTCAGCTCCTGAGGCAGAGGATCTTGAGTTTGAGCTAGTCTGGGCTACATCATAAGATCTTGTTTCAAACAAAACAAAATGCAACGATAATCAGGAAATGCTTGCATAATGTTGCAGCTGGTAGATTTTCAGTCATTGAAGAGTCTAGGGCTGGGTGTCACTGAGGCCTTTGTTTGAAGCTGTCAGCCTCCCAAGCCACTGGCCCCAGAGGAGGGGAGCAGAGCCTGACCACAGCTGTGCTGTGGACTCTTCTGACTTGCGTCACTCTTGGCGCACTGCATCCTCTTTCTCTCTGTTCATTCCTTGTGTCATAATCACGTCCTGCCCATTTGCTGGAGGGCAGTGGTGCCTACTGCCCTCTTGTGGCCAGGTGAACTCTGGAAGCACTTCTTCCGGTTAGCAAAACACTGGGGAGCGCTGAGCTCACTCTAGCCCTTGCTTGCAGGCCTGCAGCTGAGCCAGAAACCCCTGACCACCTTCCCCGATGTGGTGGTTGTCCGGGTATCCACGCCCTCTGTGCAGTCGGACAGTGAAATCACCATCCTGAGGCACCTGGAGAAGCTGGGCTGCCGTTTGGTCAATCGTCCTCAAAGCATCTTAAACTGCATCAACAAGTTTTGGACATTCCAAGAGCTGGCAGGACACGGGGTCCCCATGCCGGACACCTTCTCCTATGGTGAGTCTCCCAAAAATGTATTTGTGACTCCTTCCCAAAATACTGGTGTCTCTCTTCTCTCCTCCAGAAACCTCCCGTGTCTCTGGTTGCTTTTCCCTATGAGTCTGTTTACCTTTGGGGAAAATTAACATACTGAATACTGGCCAGTCCCTTGGCCGCTTCCTGTTTGTAGTCATTCGGTAAACCTGGACCAGCCACCATACGAAGATGTCTTAGTCAGTGTTCTATTGCAGTGAAGAGACACCATGACCAAGGCAACTCCTACAACACAAAGCATTTAATTGGGAGCTTGCTCACAGTTTCAGAGGTTTAGTCCATTATCTTGATGGTGGGGAGCATGGCAAGAGGCAGGCAGCCATGACGCTGGAGAAGTAGTTGAGAGCTACATCCTGATCTATAGGCAAGGAAAGAGACTGGGCCTAGCATGAGCTTTTGAAACCTCAAAGCCCACCCACCAATGAGAAACTTCCTCCAAAAAGGCCACATCTCCTAATCCTTCAAATCCTATCCAAGAGTTACTTCCACTCCCTATTGGCTAAGGATCAGATATATGAACCTGTGGGAGACATTTTTATTCAAACCACCGCAGAAGCTCTGAGCTAGAAGGGTATTCCCATGGCATCAGAAACAAATATACAGGCAACTTCCATGCAGTACGAACAGTGATCAGGTGACAGAATCACTGTCTTTGCGTGGTACAGGAATTCACTGGTAAGTGACTATGGAAGCGATAAGACACCCAGGACCACCTCCTTTATCTAAGGAAAAGATACCTCAGCTAGAGACGGCCTGCAAAAAGAAGGGCCAGGAACAGAGAACAGAAAAAGAGGCAGAGGTAAAGAGAGCATAATTGGCAGGTGGCATGGCCAGTAGCTGCAGAAGGTGAAGGATGCCCACGAGAGAGTTGAGGCCTGAGATCAGAAAGATAAGAGGACGCTGCACAGAGTGTGCTGAGGAGATAGCAGTACCCCAACAGGAACAGGAAGGTTCTGACCAGGAGGTGCCAACAAGTCACCCTGCAGATCGCATTGGAGAGTGAATGACACAAGACAAAGCAGAGACAGGGAAGATGCGTGAGAGGCAGTGAGCAGTGAACCTCAGGCTTCCGAATGGTGGGGACAGGATTTGGAAGCCCCTGTTGTGCCAAGCGGTGTGAGAGGCATAGGAGGTTACTCTGTGTGAATATGAAGAATGAGAGCACAGAGATCTAAGGGGTCTGCTGAGAGGGTTTGACATGGAATGCTTGTTTTACATATTTACTGCAGTGAAAAGATCAAACCAGGCCGTAATGCATGCCTGGAATGGAATCCTGGCACTTGAGGCAGGAGGATCATGAGTTTGAGGTAAGCCTAGGCTAGCTACAAAGTGAGATCATCTCAATGAAAACAAAAGAATAAAACATAAAATAAAATTGGGGGGGGATAAAGAGAGAATCTACCATGTGGGTTCTGGGAACTGAACCCAGGTCCTCGGCAAGAACCAGCCAGTGCTCTTAATCGATGAGCCATCTCTCCAGCTCCCAGGAAATCTTTTAAGGCAATGGCTGAAGAAGGGCCTGTGAAAGGAACTGGGTAGATGCAAGTTGAAAAGCAAGAGGAGAAAACAGCAAGGTCACAGAGGCCAATGGGAAGGATGGTGTCATCAAAGGCTCAGGTGGCTCCTCAGGACCAGAAGCCTGCTTCTACTCAGTGGTGGGGGAGGAACCATCGTGGGAGGTGTGAAGAGCTGAAGGGCAAGGAAGTGGCTGAAACCTGTAACTTGCCAGCAGCTTGGAGTTCTAGGACGGTGTGGGGACCCGGAGCAGGGCTCCGTTTGTTTAGGATGGGAGAGAACTGAGCATCTGAGGAAGCAGACCAGAAAAGGAATGTTTTGATGGTGCAAGACCTGTGAGGAGGTGACCACAGCAGGTGCCTACATCGTGTTGGCCATCAGCAGGGGGCCAATCACAGGTCCCGGAGGCTGCCTACTATACACTGCTACACGGCCCTCTCCGCCTTGCTCCTTTAAGGCCAACGGAAAAGGCTCCTGAAGTTTTGTTTCCCTTTAAAGGATTCATCTGAGTAGAGCTGGCCCCACTGAGAATCACTTTCCTCCCCACCTTCGACAGACTCAAGGTTAAAGGAGTAGTAATGTAATCCCAGGGGCGATAACCTATGCTCCCATATTGACCGGCCTCTCTCCCACTCAAGGGAGGGGACTGCATAAGGGAATGTTCAGCTGGAGGGGCAGTCAGGCAGCCATCCTAGAATTCTGCTCCCACAGCCACGGGGAAGGACCCAACTCTAAGAATGACACGAGAGTTACAACAGCTGGTGTGATGTTCCCGTCTGTGCAGGGCTTAATGCTGGCAGTGGCCTTCCTCTGTTCCCGCCTTTGCACATCACAGGTGTGGTTTATGTCTGCTGGGTGTGGGTGGACTTGGGCTGATCTCATCAGAGCATTCTAAAGGAGCAGGTGCTGGTCCAGCCTCTGCCCCATCGCCGACACTATTGATTCTCGCTTTTTTCTTGGCAGGTGGGCATGAAGACTTTTCTAAAATGATCGACGAAGCAGAGCCCCTGGGCTACCCGGTGGTGGTGAAGAGCACACGGGGACACCGGGGTGAGTCGTACTGCTGGGCTGGCTGCGTGGTCGGTCCGTGCAGCTGCACTCCTGCAGCACAGCAACACCGTGCGCACTCACAGTGTGTTCCGTCCGCTCTGCTCAGTCTCCTCTGGCCTCTTGTCAGATCCCCATCTCTCGCTGGACTCTGGCAACAGAGGATCCCCTGGGCAGATTTAGATGCTTAAGTCCCCAGCCAGCATATCTGCTCTTTCTTTGGAGTGGATTCTCAGAACCAAATCTGTTCTCCCCATGTGTAGGCTTAGTTTCTCCACCACCTATTTTATTTAAGGCTCTTACACGCCTTTATCTCCCCTCTCCCCTCCCCCCATCTTATGTAGGAGATTAGTAGGGAAAGGGGCTGTACTCTTTTAGGTACTTCCTGTCGATTAGGGTTGTTGGGTTCTTTGGGATATACCAGTCTCAGCCATCAGGATACCAGCAGTCCAGTTAAACAGCAAGCAGCAAAGCAGTGGAACAGTTTCTCTGGAGCGTTTCTCTCTGCAAAAACCCATAAAGTGATGTAAAGTGTAGCAAGGCAAAAAGCATTGTCCTCACTGTCTGTGGGCTTCTATTTATCCTTCCTCAGAGTCCACACAGGGATGTTTTCCAGCTCACAAAAACCATGCCCCTTGCACAAGGAAGTTTCTAGCAATATCACATCTCTTTTCATGGGGCTGTTTTCCTCGGGGGTTGGGAGGAGACATTCCAGTATCCCACACTTAGGAATAAAACAAAACAAAAAACATATTCACACGACACAACTGAGTTTGCAAAGAAACCAGAAACTCCCACTTCACCCCTGAAGAATGGGGCAGAGCTCACCCAGTCTTTCTCATTTCTGTTTTTAAACTTCTTAAAAAGTGAACTGATTTATATGTATATGAGCGTTTTGCCTGTTTATGCACGCTGTCCCTCATGCGTGCAGTACCTGTAGAGGCCAGGGAGGGCATGATATCCCTCATAACAAGTTACAGACAGTTGTGAGCCACCGTGTGGGTGCTGGGAATCGAACCTGTGTCCTCTGGATGAGCATCTAGTGCTATAGCCATTGAACCATCCTTCATTATTCCTCTTCCTCCTCCTCTTCTCCTCCTCTTTCTCCTTGCCCTCCTCCTCCTCCTCCTCTTCTTCTTCTTTTTCTCCTTCTTTCCAAGACAGGGTTTCTCTGTGTAACCTTGGCTGGCCTGGATTCACTTTTTAAACCAGGATGGCCTCAAACTCACTGACACCTGCCTGCCTCTGCCTTCCTGAGCACTGGGATTACAGGCGTATGCCACTGTCCCCAACTTCTATCCTTCATTTCTGTTCTAAAATCTGGGTTATTCTATTCCATTAAAACACACACATACACACATACATACACACACACACAGTTAAACACTCTCCAGTGGACATTAACTGCATATCTCCTGTAACTTGCTGCTTGGAGATCTTCAAATAACTTACTTCTTCTCCTCAAATTTCATTGGGTGTCTATAATTCCATCATTTCAGAAATGATTGAATATTATGGTTTGTTTTATTTTGATGGTACTGAAGATGGAGGCCAGTGCTTGGTACCACTAGGCTACATCCCAGCCCTGAATGCTGTCTATATAGTGTTGGGAGTTGCTTTTCAGTGTTATATGCCACGTGTGTATGTGTGTGGGGGGGGTGCGCATGCACGCGCGCACGCATGTGCACAACCAGTGCACAGCCAGTGCCCTCTATGCACCATCTTTCTACCCCCAAAACCCATCTTTTTTTTTTTTTTTTTTTTTTTTTAATTGCAAAGCTGTTCCACTTCCCTTGTGGTGGTAACAGGATACCTGGAGGAAACTTTTCTTTTCCATTTTTGCCTAAGAGAATGCTCGGTCATGCCTGCTCATGCTGGAATTTTCAGGGCAAACCTGTCTGGAAAGCGGCGCAGACCTGCTCACTGGGGGGCAGAGAGCAGGTGCTCAAGGGCTGCAGGAGATTTCAGTAGCAGACAGGCTCTTCAGAGTCACAGAGGAATGCTCTTGGGGGGTGGGGGGACAGAAAGGGAGCCATTCTCTGCAGAACCAAGTGAGGATGGCCAAATAATAAATTTCATCCACTTACAAGGAGGAAACGGGAACTGGGAAGATGGCTCAGTTGGGAAAGTGCCTGCTGAGCAAGCATGAGGATCTTGTCTTGACTCAGCCAGCACCCACCTAAAAAGCTTAAGTGTGGTGGAGCGGGCCCAGAACCCTCGCTCTGGAAAGGCTCCCAGTGAGAGACCTGTGTCAAAAAATAATATGGAGGAGCAGAGGGGATAGTGGAGATGGCACAGTGGATATTGTACTCCCTGTGCAAACATGAGGACCTGAGTTCGAGACCTTAGCACCCACATTAAAAGCTGGCCATGGCTTACGTGCCCCTAACCCCCAGCATAGGGGGTGAGGTGGGCAGAGACAGGTGGATCCTGGGAGCTGGCTGGCCAGCCAGCTTCTGGTTCAGTTAAAGACTCTGCCTACGGGCGGTGAGGTAGACACTGACAGAGGAAACCACTCGACGTCTTCCTCTGGCCTCCACACGTACTCGGGGCTGCACGGGCCATCAAGCTCCCATGCATGCATTGCGCATACACATGAGAGTGGGGAGCTGCAGAGCAAGGCACCTGACACTGACCTCTGGCCTCCATGTCCCCCACATACGTGAATACAGGCACACACCACACACAGAAATGAAGGGAGGGCGTCTGTCTGGAATGCTTTATAGTTTCATTTTGAAAAAAAAAAAAGAGCAGGCGCAGCGCATACCCTGTAATCTCAGTGTTCTGAGAAGCTAGGATCAGAGGATTGGGAGTTTAATTTTCGGGCAGCATGGGTTATATTCAGAATGAGACTCCATCCCAAGACAAAACAAAAAGCGAACAAGCAAATAAACAAAAATTGGGTGCCAGGAGAGAGGTGGTGGGGTTAAAAGCTGAAGAAAATAAGATTCAGTGCTCTTTGGTAGGAAGAATGAGTTTCATCAAAAATAGGAGGAGCCAGTACACGGAAAGTTCCAGAAAGCGGGTACCTGATTGGGGCAGGGAGGCAGGCTGAGGAGGTAGGACTGTAAAGACAGGCACACAGCCTCTCCAGCATTCTCCCCTGCTCTCCATCTTTCTTAAAGGAAAAGCTGTTTTTCTGGCTAGAGACAAGCATCACCTCTCCGACATCTGCCACCTGGTCCGCCATGATGTGCCCTACCTGTTCCAGAAGTACGTGAAGGAGTCACACGGGAAGGATGTCCGGGTGGTGGTGGTAGGTGGCCAGGTGATCGGCTCCATGCTGCGCTGCTCCACAGACGGCCGCATGCAGAGCAACTGCTTTCTAGGTAAGATGGGGCCCAGACCACCTCACTGGGCTAGTTGACCTGCTCACTGAACACGTACTGATCTCTACTCAAACCCTCTGCTGAGTGGGGATCTCAGAGAGAATGAAAAGGGAACCTTTCCTATGGCCTTGCCATCCAGGAGATAGACAGGAGGTCAAGGGCCGGGCCAGAAGACAGTCCTGGGTGTCAAGACACTAAAGTATGGAACCTTGTTGGGTAGATGTTAGGACTCCACAGACATCCATGAGGGGTTGACGAGGGAGGGACACGAGGACCAGGGTTTGGGAAAAGGTTCGTCTGAGTAAAGCACGGAAGGCATTAGGAGGGAGGTGAGGAGTTAGCTTTGAAAACTGCAACCTCTCAGACAGTTTACCACAGGCCTTACAAACGATCCCAACCTGCAACCCAAATGCCCCCAAGAGAGCTGTGAATGCAGCCCATTGCAAAAGCACAACTTACTTAAAACATCAAGATTTATTTTCCTTGCTGGTTTGTGTGACTTAATTGCATAGTTCTCAAGTGTGACTTTTGTGGATGGCAAAGTTATAGTACAGTGTGAAAGGTCCACCAGAGCCAGGCCCTGAACCAAGGCTGTGGCCAGTAGAGATGTTGAATTTGCTCTCCCATTTTAATTGAAGCTCGTTTTCTGTCATGGGGAATGGAGACATCACGAGAAAAACATAGATCCTTGTCTCTATCACCTTGGGGAATGGATTTGTGTTGGTAATTTGGAAAAGGAAAAGCCCTCTGTTCCTTCCTGACTCAGCAGATGCGTGCTCCAAGTTCATTAACTATAAAAAAGCTCATTTGCTGACTGGGACCTGTTTCACTAAAAGTCCCCAAGCAGCCAGCCCCAACAGAGCCGGGAGGACAGAGATTATGAAAAGTGGTTCCTAACCTCCCTAACCCTGCGACCCTTTAATCCAGTTCTTCATGTTGTGATGACCCCCTGCCTCCAAGCCATAAAATTCTTTTCATTGCTACTTCCTAACCATCTTGCTGTTGTTATGAATCCTCATGTAAATATCTGATATGCAACCCCTGCGAAAGGGTTGTTGGGCTCCCAAAGGGGCACGGCCCACAGGTTGGGGATCACTGGATTATGAGGCAGTTCTTGCCATGGGCTGGCACGTGGGCCAGAAGCTGTGCAGGCAGATGGTCGTGAGATGCTCTGGCCATGCAGGCGAATTCTGAGTTAAGTCTGACGTTGTGCTGAGCTCTTCAGAGATTGTCTTCATTTACACAATAACCATGGGCAGAACCACAGTGTGGAACTTTGTATTTGTGAGAATATATGCCTGAGGTTGACAGTCTATTATTTTATTATTATCATCATCATCATCATCATCATCATCATCATCATCATCTTTTGTTTTCTGGTCCTGGGGACTGAACCCAGAGCCTTGTACATGCTGGGTGGGTGACCACACCCTCATGCTCAGCCCAGCATTGTTACTGATTATAAAGCATGTTGTTCCTATCTACTATATGATAAATAGATTATAATTCTTTATTTCCCTAACAACCATTTATTGATTACATACTATGTTTCAGGCACTGTGATTTTTTCCAATACTTATTTTTAAATGTTTTGTGTATGGTTGTATGACATCAGTCTATGGGTGTCCATAGGGATCAAAAGAGGACATTGGATCCCTTGGAGTTACAGACAGTTGTGACTCATGTGAAATAGGCACTGGGGGTCAAAGTAGGGTCCCCAGAGAGCTCAGCCAGTTCTCTTAACCCCTGAGCCATCTCCCCAGCCCCAACTTTGTAACCTTTGTCACCAGTCCTGTCTCTCTAGAAGGTCCTTATTGTCATCGGTGAGTGGCATTTGTCACCTCCGAGTTCCTGTGCTTTCTTCCCAGGCGGTGTGGGCGTCAAGTGTCCACTGACAGAGCAAGGCAAGCAGCTGGCCATTCAGGTGTCCAACATCCTGGGCATGGATTTCTGTGGCATTGACCTTCTCATTATGGACGATGGCTCCTTCACGGTGTGTGAGGCAAATGCCAACGTGGGCTTCCTAGCCTTCGACCAGGCATGCAACTTAGATGTGGGGGCGATCATTGCAGACTATGCCATGTCCCTGCTGCCAAACAGGCAGGCTGGGAAGATGGCTGTCCTCCCGGGCCTGTCCAGCCCCAGGGAGAAGAATGAACCAAATGGTTGTGTATCCGCTCAGGGAGCTGCAGAGAATGTCTATTCCATCACCAATGGGTCTACCTCTAGTGAGAGCGAGCCTGAACTGGGAGAGGCCCGGGATTCCTCAGCAAAAACAGTGGGGGCCCCGCCTCCCCATGTTGCCCGAGCCTCCTGGTTACAGCATTAACAGGATTGCCTCACAATTCCAGTGAATTCCTGCTTTTTTTTTTTTTTTTTTTTTGGCAGCATTTAAACCAAATCCTACTGCTTCCCTGAGTAGCGTCCAGTGAATTAGATCAAGACTAATGTGATTTCATTTGCACAGAAATTAGAAAACCCCATCCGGGCACTCAGCATTCTTTCTAACAACGGTTTGAACAAACAAAGTCTCATATAGTTAAACAAACAAACAAACAAAAACACACACACACTCACACACAAAAAACACTCACCAAGAACAACATCCCGAATGATCAGCGTGAGCCCAGCATCCACTGCGAGCACTCGGATGGAATGGCAGGGCTCTCAGGCGCCGAGTCTGTGTTGCCGTCCCTGGCTGTTAAACACCTTCGAGCATGAGCTTGGCTCCTGGAAACGCTGTTCTCTCAGGCAGCCAGGAGATGGAGGCATGCGCAGACAGGCAGGACGCTCTGAGAAGGCTGTGAGAGGACGCCCCTGCTACCCCCGGTCTTACCACATTCCTCAGGCAGTCGGGCCATCTCACTGAAGCGCTCCGCTCCGTAGAAAGTGAGGTGGAGCCTTTTTGACCTCAGCGGTTGGCATGCGTCCTGCTTTGCAATGGGCGATTTCTACAGACTGCTTGGTCACTCGAGATTCATACCCCTGCTTCCCCGACCGCCAGCTCCAGCAGCTTCACACACCTTTGCTGCCTTTGGCCTCAGCTGGAAATGCATCTGGATGAGCTTTGGCCACAGACCGTTTTCTTGTGCACTCGAATTCAGCACCGTGGACTTTTCTTCTCAATGGACTCTGTTCACTTGTCACCCGGAACCAAAGGGGTTTTACCTCAGAAAGTTACCTGACGATAACTGGCCCCCTTCTGGACATGCTGCTGGAACCTGTCCTTGTCCATTTTTCCAAACTGGGGAGACATGGGTATTTGTGGAGGGGTGAGTGTGGCTATTGTAGCCGTGATACCAAGTGCTTTCCACATTAACTCTTCAAGCAGTAGATGAGATCCTTCCCCTCAGAGGAGTGGTGGAGATGGAGTTTTGTGTTTCTGCTTATAGAAAGCCTAACTGAAAACAAGCAGTGACCAAATACACCCAAACAAACACACCCGGAGTTACCTCACGGTGGCCACTTGGGAGACCATCCATCCTCTGGAGTTATTTCATGGCAGGTGCCAAGAACTTTGAGGACTCCTCTTTGGGGTTACCTCAGAAGCCATCAAAGGAAAGAGGCCTCTTAAGGCCTTGTTTAAGTTCTTTTACCTTCCTCCCCCAACTCCTGCTATCTGCCAAGGCAGTGCCAAGCTCCAACACCCATTGTATTTACCAGACGTAATGCTCTTCGGCTATTAAGAACTATAGATAAAGGACAAAGATTTTTCCTATTCTGAGGAAGCATGTAAGTTCCCAGTTTCCAAATAAGGTTCTAGAAATTCGAGTTGGGTCAGCCACACTGGAATAACACACACACTTTCCTTAAGGTATCCTCTTTGAAGGCAACACCACCCCACGGGCACATAATACCTACACTTACTCTGAGTGTGAAGTGTGTAGAAAGCCAAAACGATAACTTTTTTTTTTTTCACAACACACATCTAAGTAGAAATTGGCCTTTCAAATGTTGCAGTTAAAGCCAGATTTCACCAACCAGCAGCTGTACAACTGAAAAATGTCGAAGAGGTGTTACACCCTACACCTGTAGTTTCTATGCACTCTCGCCCTTGGGTGCTTCCCTCTGAACTATACCCCAAGTGTGTGTCTGTACAGTTGAAAAATGACGACAGTTCACCCTTACTATTGACTAAGATGTGTATCTTCTCCTTAGCGCTCAGAGTGGCTCTAAAAGAAGTCTGGTCGTAGTTACAGTCCATAGTTTATAGACCACCTGCTGGAGGTGATCAGATGCCAGCCAAGCGGTGGCCTCTCGGAAGCCACACTCACCACGTCCCCTGTTTAGTGCAAGCCTCTTCTCGTTGATCTGTGTCCAAGGCAGGCCCCACCTAAGCAGAGCGGCTCAGGGTGTTTCCAGATTCCCTTGCCAAAGGAGGCCCATTTCCCAGCTAGCAGAGATGTCTGCCATTGGTGTGATTGCCCAGAACTGACCCTGCCTAAAGGCAGACAAAGCTGATTCTCATCTGGATCCTAGGCCCCCCTCTGGGATTTCTATACCACAGATGGCCATGGGCAATTACTTGGGTCTCAGCTCCATGGCCCAACCATACTTGCCACCGCTGCCTACACTTGCTGGGAAGAACATGGTGATGCAGAATGGGAGTCCGGTTCTGGCTCTCCCAGCCAGCTGACCCCATGAGCTCTGGGTCTCCATCTTTTCATTCTGTAGACAGAGAAAACCGCCTGTTTCGTTTACCTCTTGCTACACTCTGAGGCTGAAGTGAGTTAGTAAGCACAGCTGTCCGTTTGTGGGAGGCGGTAACAGGCACCTCCCACACGTGGTTTTTATGTTTCTCGTCACTCTTCTGGGAGAGTTAAGAAAGGGAGAGGCTGTGAATTCTTGGCATTAGCAAGCTCAACAGTAGTAGGGGCCCGGATGTTTAAAAAAAAAAAAAAAGCAGCTTCTTGGGGGCCTCTTTTCTAGCCAGAGATACTTCACAACCCGAAAGGAGGAACGTTCTTGGGGCAGCCAAAGAACCTTCTGGATGCATCCTGCCTAACCTGAAACCCTTGACTCCCATACGCCAACACCAAGTCTTCCTCGTAATATAGATCCAAGGTGTGTGTGCGGTCTCCCCACTGTCTGGTCACAACGTCTTGAAACTGGTCAAAACTTGAATGTCAATAGCTCAGTCACTCAGAATATATATGATTCTGCACTTGGGAGCAATGCCTTCAGGTGTCTTGTTTGACTGCTTGCGTGCGGGGCGGGTGGGTGGTGGGTTGGAGACTTTGGGTCTTGAGGATGTGAGAAGCAGGGTAAGTGGATCATGAGTCGCTGTTGCTGATGCAGCACTCCCACCTGAGCCGTCTCCGTCAGGCATCAGAAGGGAAGGGCCTGGGATAGTTTTGTGGCAGAGGTGAAATCAGGACCACTTGGAACTCTAGAGGAAAGGGGAGAAAATGGCTTAAGTCATAGTAAGGACACCCTGCAGCTATGGGAAGGATGGAAGCAGCTAATTTGGGGGACAGGGGAGGTTCTAGGACCAACCAAGTCCCAGAAGACCATCTACAGAGCTGAACGTGGGGAGCGAGCCCATCACCAGGCACAGGGGGACGCTGCGCCTTGTCCTCGAAGGTACAGCCCCTACTTGATGGTAGTCTGGGCAGATGTTTTAAGAAGGACACTAGCAACAGCTACTTGTCACTGCCCTCAAAGGTCACGATAGAACATGATAGAAAACCTGGTGGTATGGCTGGAGAGACAGCTTGGCCATGAAGAGCAGTGGCTGCTCTTCCAGAGGACCCAGGTTCAACTCCCAGCATCCACATGGCACCTTAGGACTATAATTCCAGTTCCAGGAAATATGACACCCTCTTCTGGCTTCCACAGGTACTATGTATATATGCACTTGGTACATATATACATGCAGGCAAAATGCCCATACACATAAAATAAAATACCCAAAAGAAGAGTTATTGAAAAAAGAAAAACAAACAAAAACCCTGGCATTGCTGTTGGCTTAGGAACTCAGGGTTCATGTGGATAATTGCTTTAAGAAACGCCTTGGTTGGTTTTATGTTGCTGTGATAAAACATCATGACCAAAGCAACTTCTAGAAGGAGAGTTTACGTGGGGCTTATGGTTCCAGAGGGACCATCACAGCAGGGAAGCATGGCAGGAGTGCCAACACAGTGGCAGGAACAGATGAGAAATCACATCTTGAACTGCTAACAGGAAACAGGCTGTATTCAAAATGAAAACATCAGGCCAGTGACACACTTCCTCCAGCAAGGCCACATAAGCCTCCCCAAACAGCCACCAACTGGGGATGATCGAGTGTTCTAAGGCCCAAGACTTACAGGGGTGGGTAGGGGCAGGAGCATCTCATTCAGACCACCACAGAAAGGACCACCCTCGAAGACAAACTCTTCCAATCGTTCCTTATAACAAGGCCGGTCACTATTCCCAATCCACGAACCCTGAAGCCTCTCCAGCGCTTCACGGGGCTCAGCCTGCACTTCCTTCCTTCAAGCATTCCCGCTTTCCCCTAAAGATCCAGTTCCTATGCCGCCAACATGTAGGTGGGCTGCAAAACTGGCTTCCCAGCCCTGTTTGGTAACCTCCATAGCCTCAGAGATTCCAAGGCAGCATTAGAAGGGTCACCCTAGAGAGCCAGGCTGATGAGGGTTTTCCCCATCTTGCAACGAGGAGTCAGAGTTCCAGAAGCCAGGGACACTCAGGGCCAGTCATGAGCAAGGCTGGACCTAGCGCGCTGCCAGGAGCGGCTCTTCCTCCACACAGCTAGGGCTGGCTGTCATCCCGGGCCCACCCTCTCGCCTCTCCGTTCCGATGAACTGCTCTTCTCAAGTTCAGTGAGCCAGCTGCCGAGGCCTCGGCACTCGTGGGCGTGGAAGAGGTTTGCAGAGCATACGTCTGGGCCCTTTGTGGACCAGGGAAGAGTATTTTTGCCTCACCCCACACTCGGTGATGGTATGTGAGGAAACAGGCTCAGGTCAAGCTGACTAAGGGCTCCCTGTGCCCCGATATGGCTGATGTAGCTTACTGAAGAAGCCCTGGAGGTTAAGAGTTTGAAGTATGTAACCTTCTATTGGGCTCAGCTGAGGGGGAATCCCGTGACAGGTTGTTTCAGTTGCAGTCAGCAATGACGTCAAAATCCCCCCCCCCCCGTTCTGTGTCACTCTTACAGGCAGACTGCCCCTTGAGAGCAGGTGAATCTGGTAACCGGGCTTCTATTACGAGCCCCCCCCCCCCGATTTTCTGTGGTTTCTGAAGGGCTTGTGTTTTGGCAGCACCTGCTTGGCCCCAAACTTCTGCTACCTCGTTGTTTTCAGCGATGGTTTTGTCCCCACACTGAACCTGTGAAGACATAAAGCTTCACCCCCCTCCTCCGTGGGTGGTGTAGGAGGGGAGGTCCAAGGCTGCAGCAGGGCAGGCTCAGCGACACGAAGAATGTCCTCACAGGCCACAGAGGAACCTCCTTCCACCCTTCTTCCTTCCGTCTCTGTCTCCACTGCCTGGAACAAGTCAAATCTGTCCGAACTCCCGTATGCAGTCATCCTCTCTCTCTCTCTCTCTCTCTCTCTCTCTCTCTCTCTCTCCTCAATTTCTGTCAACGTTTCGCCTTAAATTGTGGTGGCTTTTCAAAGGGCTATTCCTCAGCAGAGTCAGCGCCCCACCCCTGGGGAACCTGAATGCCGTCTCTGAAGGCGGGCACACTTCATCCTCACCACGCTGACTTGGTTAACACCTCGGCAACCATTTGCACCTCTAGCCCTTGGTTGCACCTGTGGACGGTGACATGGACCACAGCAAATGGCGCCAATTTGAGTCAGATCTGTGTCAGACCAGGCGGCCTTGTGTGACACTAGGCACAGCCACCACGTCTTACCAGATCTTTCGTCGGCTGTAAATGTGAGGGATAAACACAATCGTGAGCGTGAAACACTGCACCACAGGCCTGGCTTTCATAAGCATTTCCATCCCAGGATCGTGGCCGAGTGCCAAGGGATAAAAGCTGGCACACAGCAGCTTTACAGCTGGGAGAATGAGGGGGGGGGAGTCGAAGGCTGCTGAAGCAGACTGTTGTTTGGGCTTAATGCCTGGAAGGTTTCATCCATCCTTGAGATTCTGTGGTACAGCAGTGCAAACTGAGGTGGGGGCGGGGGGGGTGCTGGCGGGACGATGGCTGCTAGAGCAGGCTTAATGTCTGGAAGGTTCCACCCATCCTCGAGATCTCGAGATTCTATGGTACAGCAGTGCCAGCCATGGGGGGTGTATGGGACTTAGAAAGATCCTGAAGGAGAGCTGCCTAGGACACCAGGAGGCTGGAAGCTGCTGGGAAGCCTGACCTTGCATGATTTAGCACCTGGTTTCCTTGGCTCTGCTGTCTTAGATTTGCTGGCTTTGCATCACATGGGCAGAGGAGGTGCCAGCGAGCAGCATTAAACCTGTCAGACGCAGGGGGGGGGGGGGAGCTGTGCCGAGATTGCTGATGGGCTTGGCCAGAACGACAGCCCCGAGGTCAGATGGAAACAACCAGTAGAGCAAGCTATGCTGCTTGCCACTGGCTTAGGCCGGTCCACAACGGGACTCCCAGAATCTCCTGTGTAGAAGGAGTGCTGATTTATCATATAGGGTGAGGGATCCTGGATGATGGAGAACGGATAACGTTTTTGTGAAGGCAAGACTGGATGGGTGCCTGGAGATCCCCAGAGAGCAGTGATATGCCGAAGCAGGCCAGTCCTGGCCCAAGAGTCCTGTGAGACGGTTGTTAATCACAGTCACCAGTTATGATCAAACTGTGTAAGTCTATGTTTCAAGCAGAGGCTGAGTTTGTGGTCCAGCTGGTAAGTAAAGTGCCTGAATGAAGCCCTGAGTTCAATCTCCAGCACTGCATAAAGCCAAACAGCCCACACCTGTAATCCTAGCTCTCAGGAATTAGAGACTGTAGGATCCAAAGTTCTAGGTCATCCTGGGGTACATTCAATGCCGGGCTACAGGAAAACCCTGCCTCAAAAATAAATGAATAAATAGATAAATAAATAAATAAGTGCTCAAAGCTCAAAAACTTAATCCCAGTACTTAGAGGCAAAGGCTGGCTGATCTAAGTAAGTTCCAGGCTAGCAAGTCCCAGACCCAGTATGAATGCACAGAGGGACCCTGTGTCAAAAACAAACGAGAAAAAAAAAAAAAAAAAAAAAAAAACAAGCCTCCAAACCTCACCGCTGTCTCCCTGTTACTTGCATTCTTGGTGTTATGTGGATCGGTGTGAAGGACCTAGCTCACAATGGTGTGTGCTGTTTGGTATCTCTTCCCGGCCTCACCATTCGGTGACATCACAGTGATAGCTCGGAACCCGCTGGGCGGAGGTGTCCATACATCAGAGATGGGCAAACACTACAGATCAAGTTTGTGTCCTCCTAGGACAGGCACAGTAGCGCCACTCCGTGGCGGAGGAAAGAATATGCATCCAAGGGCAGGACTCCCTCGGCTGCGGGGATGCGGGGTGGGGGCGGGGGGTGAGAAGGCCCACCTGGAAGCCAGTGACCCGGTGACCCGGCTTGGCTGATGTGACGTCAGGCAGACCCCTTGCCAGGTCTGCTTCCTGCTGATTCTGTTTAGCTTCTCTGTTTCTCACGTGTGAAATCTGTTTCCTTTGCCGGGGAAGTTTTGGAGTGACCTGTGAGACTCCGTCTCCCCTGTGGGAAACACTTAAGCTGCATTCCCTCGGGGAGAGTCCACTGAGGGGTTTCCCCTGCACAACTGGCAAACTGAAAGTGTGCTGTCAAGAAAGAACAGACGTTAACTGGGACACCAAAGAGCTCATTTGCAAGCGGGTTGTATAGCAACAACAAAGTTAACTCTCCCCAAAGAGGAGAAATCAGTTTGGAATGATTTGCTTTGTTATCAAGATTATTACCTCGGACCAGAATGCTTCATCCCCCTTTGTGCTCTGCGGCTTTTGGACATCCTTTTAAGTAAGAGTCGAGTGTTGAATCTCCATTTTATTATTTTCATATCATAAAATGAGGGGGACGCCTCGGAGAGACTTCATCCTATTCACTAGCTCTCCAGCTGCATTCTGAAAAACGGTAATTTTCCTTTCAAAGGCAGAGTGTTGTCTGAATGGTTACAGCTCCCTGCCGTCAGGATGATGGGCGAGGAAAGACTGTTGCAGATGGCGTGGGCTTGTCTG